CCAAATAGAAACAATAGTATCATGATGATAATGGCACCCACCACCCACCACCCACCACCCACCACCCACCACCCACCACCCACCACCCACCACCCACCACCCACCACCCACCCCCCACCACCCACCACCCACCACCCACCACCCACCACCCACCACCCACCACCCACCACCCACCACACCCCCCCCACCACCCACCACCCCACCACCCCACCACCACACCACCACACCCCACCACACCGCGCCACCACACCACACAACGACACCACCATCACACCACCACCACACCACCACACCACCACACCACCACACCACCGCACCACCGCACCACCGCACCACCACACCACGCCACCGCACCACCGCACCACCACACCGCTGCGCCACCACACCGCTGCCCCACCACACCACCACATCACCACATCACCACACCACACCACCACCACACAACCACCACACAACCGCCACACCACCACACCACCATACCACACACCACGCACCACCACCGCACACCACCACCGCTCACCACCATTTCGCCACACAACCACTCCGCCACTCCGCCACACCGGCACACCACCACACCACACCACCATACCACACCATACCACTCCATGCCACTCCATACCACTCCATACCACACCATACCATACCATACCAAACCATACCACACCATACCACATCATACCACAACATACCAATTCACACCACCGCACTACGCCACCACACCAGCGCACCAGCACATCACCACATTCCATGCATTCGATGCAGAGTGTGAGTGTGAACATGAAAACATATGTTGGTGCTCTGTGCGGGGCACCGCTTGAGCTTCAAGGAGGCGGCCACATCTAGAACCCCGCAGCGCTTAAGAGCTGCTTCCAGGACCATGTCATGGCATGTGAAGGCCATTAGGTCAATACCTGTTGTCCCTGGATCGCCAGGGCAAGTACATATACAAAGTTTGCAGATGCGTCCAATCACGTTCTCCATACATAGTGTGGGCATGAAAAGTATGCTGATGCTTTGTGCAGGTGGGGGGAGGCCGCATAAGAAAAAACACTGTCGGCATAAAACCAAGCACTTTGAGAAAGGGGAAGATTAAAACACCAAACATTTCCGCATAACAGAAATCACCACGAGCATAAAACCGAACACCCACCAGCCCGGAGCATAAGAAAAAACACTGGCAGCATAAGAAAAAACACCTAGCCCAATTTGACCCCCATGCCTCCCGTAGTAGGTCACTTCGGCAGATAGTTCAATGCATCCGATAACCAGGGCATCCACACCATGGTGGCTGAAGTGCCTCCAATGACCAGCGCACCCATGAGCAAACCAGGATATGATGAAGTCATGACTTGCCATGGCAAGGCTCGATAGGCAGTTCTCGACTCGCCCCCGCAGGAGTCCGGTGAGCCCAAGGCTTTCGCCCGCTGCGGCCTCGTGACTTCATCACTTGGAGTCGTACGGCGTAGATGTGTGTTCAAGGGCTGGTGCTCATGCGCTGCTAAGGTTACAACCCGCTGAAGCCAGCAGCTTCCGCCACAGCAGCTTGGGCCTTGGATGTTGTCAAACAACTCAAAAAACCAATAGCATATTACAGCATAAACATATATTTTTGAATGCCAATGTGCGCCACCATCAGGATTGATTGTAAAAGTCATGCCCGGCACGAGACAAAGACCAATGGTTTCCTTCTGCCCGTGAAACACCGGTAGCTCGTAAGAATTTCTCTTAGCAAAAGACGGCAGGCCCCACTTGGAGGTGCACGGCCGCGCCAGGCCAGGGCCAATGTAGTGCAATAATGAGCGTCAACCATTGACAGATGGCTTTCAGCTGATGTCAGCAGAGAGTGCTCGTCAATGCGAAAAGCTTTGTTTCCTGCGTAGAGACCCATCTCCACAATTCACCAGGCTGAGCCTCTTCGTGGGGCAACCTGCTCAGTGGAAGCTGTTCAGACGTAGTATTGCTGCTGCAGAGGGCCACCCAAGCTGGCCCTGATTCCGTTTGAGGCCTTGACGCGGCTTCCTGGCGGCTTGTGCTACGAAGAGCTGCCGCCCAGAGGACAGAAAAACCATAAACAACAAGCGGGTCGGGAAATGTTGACGTCAAGGAGGCGTACCATGCGGCGCCGAACAGGTGCAAGACTTGGTGTAGCAGCGTAGCATTGCATAGCGGCATAGCATGGCAGCCGTCTCTTGCTTTGAGACGATGAGAGCTGAGATCTGAGGCCGCGCTCGGTCAGGAGGCCACTTCTTCAGCTAACTTTCCTTGGATGTGGCGTCGGGTCTTGTGAGGTGGAGCTCAGGCTTGCTATTTCCACAGCTGGCAGCAAGCCCAAGGCAATAGCTGCAAGAACGCTCAACAACGTGCGGCTCATGCATGCTCATGGCAGTTCAAAGTGGGGCGCTGACAGGTTGTAGAGCGTGCGCAGGTGTTTGCAACCCAGTCGCTGCATATATGTATCTCCGTGGTTTTGTTGACCTCAAGACTGCAAGCCTGCAAGCCTTGAGGCAGTTTACTCTTGGTGCGCATGATGTGAAGGATGGCTGGGCCTTGACCTCAACTGCGATGTCGGGCCGGCGTAAGTATGAATGAGCTTCAGCGCCTCGGCTAGGGTCAAAAAGTGCTATTTGAAGGCTCGCAGGCATCTGGAAGACGCAGTCCAAAGCTGGAAAGATTTGCCGAATTTCCAGAGGCCTTCGATGAACACACGCCTGACCCCTGATGCTGAAATCCAAAGCACGCGGAGTTTTGCAGTACGCCAGCCAAAGCGACGCCTTCCCAAGTTTAAGTTTTAAACATGTAAAATTTCCCAATGCCGCAGAAAAGCATGGCTGCAGCAATCACCTGACTATCCATCCCCTTCCCCCGGGCAGGTTCACAGGGCAAAACAGGGCCTTTGCAGTAGCAAGTATTGGTGCGAAAAAAAATCCTGACTTGCCAGATGAGTCTTTTTTAAACTGTCCCCCTATTGGCCTACAACTGCAGGTAGACGGGAATTTGAACATTGAGGAGGTTCTGTCTGCCTGGGCGCCAGCCATGCTGGGCATGCGCAGTGGGCCCGGTGGGCTTGGCCTGACGCACTGTCTCTTTTTTTCTGGAACTTTTCTTCCCTGTTCTATGTCGGGGTTGTGCAGGGTTAACAGACAGTAAAATAGAAACTGTTACAGCATAACAAGGTATATATGGGTGTTATGTAAGGATAATGGAAACTAAAATGGAATCGACTGCAATGGGTTATATAGGGATATATATAGGGGATAACGGAAAATGAAATGGAAACAATTGTAATATAATGGGGCAGTAAGGGTTTATATCGTGTTGTCTGTTAAGTGGTTAAGGCACTGGCCAGCGGCGGCGCTTGCAGGTGCCCGGACGGCTGGGCTTCCGCGACGGAGGGGAGGCATGCGTCCGCACATCTCAAGCCCAGATGACCCAACTCTCGCAGAGGTCCTGCCAGACAAAGCGGATGTGAACGTTGAAATAGAGTTGAAGAAGTTAAGATAGGCAGAGATAGGCAAAGGCCAAAGAAAGCCTTGCCGGAGCCAGCAGGAGCCATGCCAAAAAAAGCAAGCTGCAGAGGCTAGAGTAGGGCTATTGCTGCATATTTGCACTTAAGTTTCAGGCAGCCATCTGGCCTCCAGTTTCAATCCGCAATCCCAGCGAACACACAGTAGCACCCCAACCAACAGTTGTCATATGATAAAGTACACCAGTAGCTTCGGGAGCTATGGCTGAGACTACCAAAGGAGCCAAGGCATAGCTTCCTCACACATTTCTCCTGACTCTTACCTGAATCTGGGCAGGGAAAGGGCAAAGGCAGCTCTCATGGTGAGCAACTTGATAGCCAAGACAGGCAGCAGGGCTCTTGTGCGGCCTGAAGAGATTGAATTGCTTAGAGGCCATCGGCTGATCAGCTCACTGCACAGCTGTGCGAGGCTCGAGTCCAATGTAGGCTGCTGAGGTGCAAGCTTTTCACCTTAATGTGTGAGATGCTTCAGCAGGCTATCCATGGTGGCGCAGCCGCGGAAGCAGAAGCTTTGTTCAGCTGCTCAACTGCGCAAGACCTGCAATCAAACCAAGAAGCACCCTGCTTGTGCGCGACGGCGCCCCGCCGACAAATCTTGGTACGGAGGTCAGCTGGACGTTGAACTGCGTCGACAGGACCAAAGATGACCATGCTGGTGTGGATGGAGGACTGGGCGCTCCTGTTTCAGGACTCCGCCCAACTACAGAGCCTTACATCAGAGTTGGAGGCAGCTGCTGTGGCCGTCCCATCCTCAGCATTGCCCAGAAGGCGTCAAAGGCTTCTCCGGGCATCTGCAACTTGCAAGGCCTTGCCTGATGGCTCTGATAGCTCCGGTGACGAAGGCAGCAAGACAAAGGCACCCTGAGCGATCTTGCGTCCAAAGCGACGCCTCTCCTGTCAGGAACAGAATTCAATAAAGAGCACGGCTGGTGCGTTGTCTGTGGTGAAGGGCCAATGTAGGATGCCAAGATGTAAAAGGCTCCAAGCCATTTTGCTTCATCTTGACGGCTTGGCTGCCAACTTTTTGTGGCTCCTCGGTATAAGCCAGCGGCATGGCTTAGCATGCTTCAAGTCATGAGTTGCCGGATGACAACCATCGCCACAGCGGGAACATCAACTTCAGAGCAGGAGTTGGAGAATCGAAGACTTTTCAAAGAGACCTGGCAAGCGCACGCATCATCTCAGCAGCCCAGTGCCACGTAGAGTAGGCAGGCATAGGCAGGCTTAAGCTTAAGTGAAAACATCCCCATGGCCTGGACCTTGGCTTGGCTTCAGATCTTTCATTGCTTTCTTCTGGGATGCTCAGACATCTCGGTGGGAGTCTTGGGGCCTTGGGCGGAGCTGGGAGATCTGCTTCTAGCAGTGATGGTTGCGGACCTGGACTTTCGAAAGCACTTCGACCCCAACTTGCAAGCCAGGTTTGGCGATCCCATCGTGCATGTGCACGAGCCGCACCCTGCCATGGCAAACTTCTCCATGCGGTTTGGTGCCGCCGCCCCTATACATCATGTTTTGAACACGAAAGACATGCCCAACCGTACGCATCATCTTGTCCTTGCCTGTTTAAAGAATTCTAGATTTACGCTCCCCCCCCCCCTTATTTGCCTGCGCCAAATGGCCGCACATCAGAATGTGCTGCGTATAGCAGTGTTT